CCATATGCTCTCTCGGACGCGTCACAGAACACATGGACATCTCTTGTCACATATGGCTGGTCCATAGTTGTGGGAACATAGCAGCGAGGTAAGGTGATGCGAACTAATTCCGGCAGTTCTGCCACCCATTCCTTCCAGGCTTGCAGCAGCTCCTCTGGTAATAATGGGTCATCCCACTCTCTGTGTTTATCCCAGAGTCGTTGTACAAGCACCTTAGCACAAGTTGTATATGGCAATATTAGCCCCAAAGGGTCATACTGTCTGGCCAATGTACGGTACACTGTACGCATTGTTGTTGGGCCCTAGTCTTCCAGTCGATGTCTATAGCCGATGGTATCCGTAGGGCAGTGCCATCTTAGCCCTAAGGTAGACTCTTGGATATCTGCAGAGCTTTGAGTGAGCCATCGTTCAGCATTGTCTGAGCAAGCGTCTTGAGGCAGATGGCTGAGGATGTCGGGGGCATTGCTGGCCCACTGTCGGATCACAAACCCACCTGATGCCAACAGGGACCGTAATTTGTCAAGTAAGTATTTGGCTTCAGCTTTCGATGGTAAGCTTTGTAGACAGTTGTCTACGTAGAAACACCTGTCAACTGACATCCTGACATCATCTCCTTCTTTGCTGTGATCATAGACGTGCCGCTGGAGTGCATATGTAGCGCAACAAGGAGAACATGTGGTACCAAATGGAAGAACTTGCCACTCATAAACCACAGGAGGCACATCACGGCTGAGATTTCGCCACACAAACCGAAGAAGAGGCCTGTCCTCGGGCAGAAGGCAGACCTGGTGGAACATGGCCTTTATATCTCCGCTTATTGCGATGGCATGCTCGCGAAACTGAAGCAGAACCCCCAGAAGTGATGGACCAAGGGTAGGCCCAGCAAGAAGGGATTCGTTGAGATTGCGGCCCTGGAATTGGTAGGAACAATTAAATACTATGCGGTTCTTCCCATTATGTTCCACCAGATGATGGGGAATGAACCATGATTCTTCACTCTGTGCAGCTTCCTCTGGGGTCAGCTTGCATACAGAGCCTGCCAGTCCAAGCTTGCTCATTTCTGCGGAGTATGCTGAGGCTTTATCCTTATCTTTAGCGAGCCGCTTCTCTATACCTCGGAGGCTTGGCATGACGGCGTCTTTGGTTGCATGGTAAGGGGAGGTACCTCTCTTCCGTAACAGAGGTGTCGCATAATGCTGGACATTGTTATGCTCAACACGGATGGTTTTACTTTCCAACAGTTGAAGTGCCTCTTGATCCTCTCGTGATCGTGTTGCCTGTTTCTCTGATTTGAATGGTAGGGTATCCACCTGCCATAACTTCTCCACATTTCTCAGAAGTTCAACTGTTTCAGGGTTTACAGAGGTCAGGTAACAGTTCTGAGATCTAGAGCGCTGTGGTAGATCTCTAGCAGGGCCCTGTAGTGTCCACCCTAATCTCGTCCGTATGGCAGCTGGTCCTCCTGGTGGTCCCAGATGCACTGGTTCTACTGGAGTGATCAAATGAGGCTGATCAGCTCCAATGAGAAGAAGAGGGGAAACTCGATCAAAGGGTTCAAGTGGCAAGCCTCTGAGATACTTGTACCTTTTCTGTAAGGTGGCAAGTGGGTAGGAATGATCAGCTAAGCCCAAATTCTGAGCAGTGAATGCTCCACTAATGTGATAATTCTGGTTTGGCTGTGAGGCAGGGGAAACACGGAAAGAAACAGATGCTCCTTGAAGAACTTTGGTTTCTTGCCTTATTGTTCTCAATGCCAGTTCCTCAGGAATGCCACGCAGGCCGAGCTTATTTGCAGCCTCACAAAGAAGTATGGACCTTTCTGAACCGTCATCGAGAACAGCATATGTCTCCAGAGTTCGTTCTTGATACTGCAGATGAACCTTCACCACTTTCAGCAATACCCGGCTGCAATCTGTGGGTCGATTCAGGTAAGCAGTGCCAACAGCGGAGCTCAGCATGCATATGCCCTCTTTACCTGCCTTGGCATTGACTTCATGCAAGATCTGGAGGTGTTTATTTTGACAAATGCTGCATGGTTTCTTGAGAGTGCAGTCAGTAACAGCATGATATCGACCACATTTCATACACCTCTTGTTCGCTGTGATCCAATTATGGATCTGCTCAGTGGTGAAAGTTTGGAAAGTTGCACACTGACTTAAGAAGTGTTCAGAGCTCTCACAATAGGGACAATAAGGTTGCACTTTACCTCTTTTCCTGCCTGAGGTGGATGCTTTGGGTCCTGGTTCTGGGCTCTTCACCTGGGAATTTTTTTTTATAATATTAAAAATATCTGTATGACATTATATTCTGCAGTTCTTCCCTGTTGTACCGAATATCTATACTTTTCAAATGATCATATCGAAGTTAGAAATTCAAATATTGTGACAGAATTAATGTTGTATGGTGCCACAAGTTTGTTAAAATTTCCAAAGGGTGCCGCGACTAAAAAAAGGTTGGGAAACACTGGTTTAGTAGTTCTCCAGTGGCGAAGGCTTGCTCATGAATATTAATCGACAACCCGTCACCGTCGTTGGATTCGTAGCGGCAGCGGCATAATGGTTTCTGTTTCCGCATTCAAACACACACACAGAACAACATGGCTGCAGTAGGCAGCTTAGTAAACAGTTTGGCTTGTCTTTGGAGACAGCCATGTACCCGCGCTTATTTACCGCATTTGTTATTTTATATTTCGTTTGTAGGATCGGTTTTGAAAACGTCGGGCCTTGTGCAGGAGAGCTACTTCAGTAACAGCAGAAATATTTTAAATCTGTAAGTACGTACAAGTCTACTGTATATGGTTGCAACCTTACCTAGATAAAACTCAATTAAACACTGTAAAACTAAATTAATTTAGTGGAAATTTGTTCGTGTTTAGAAACAATGTGAAAGCCCGCAGGTGATGGAGATTTACCGCTGATTACAGAACCGGCTTTACTGATAAGATGCGCGTTAAATATCGCATGCGATTTATCGTGCAGCCCTAGAAAACAATAATTATAGCAATATAAAAGTAATAGGCTTTAAGCAGTTTTAAAAAGCAATGCTTGTCATTGACAACTTACTATGACATTGATTTTTGGCTCCAAAGTCATTTGATCATTTTCACTTCATTTTTTCTACTTTCAGATATTTTGTGAAAGTTTCATGGGCATGGACCATTGCTTTACTTCTGCCTTTCATCCGTTACTCCAACATTTACAACAGAAACCACACATTTGTGTTGAGGCGGCTGACTTCACTACTGGTGGCGACATTCATTTGGCACACCTGCACTGAGACTTTTTCCTACATTGAAGACATTACCGGTTCATGCTATGAGTCAGACACCATGCAAGTCATCCACGGTGACATTACCACAAAGGCGGCGTGCAAGAAGGCCGGATTCATCTGGGATGGTTTTGACATATCAGGACACTCCTTCATCTTGGCTTACTCTAGTCTTGTGATTGTGGAGGAAATGGTGCCCATGTTAAACATACCGCGAAGTGACAGAAATGTTCTTCTTGATTACATTTATATAGCACTCAATGCTATTGTGGCCATCTGGATATGGATGTTCGGATGCACTTCTGTGTATTTCCATGATATTATTGACAAGACTATAGGGACGTTGTGTGGGATATTGGGATGGTACGTGACTTATGGTGTTTGGTACCCGATGTCCTTTTCTCCAGGTCTCCCTCCACAGCAGAAACAACATGCTTAGTGTGGGAAATAAATGCTACAAGTGCACTACAGGAAGCTTGACATATCTGTACTGTTTATGTTTTGTGAGATCCATGACAGGTTAGCCTTCCAGGTGTGGCGGTAGGCAGCTGGTGTTCCTAAAATGTCGACCTGTAGTCTGAGAGGTCACATCTGAACCTTATTGTTGCATTCAAATGTTTTGTGGCTTCATACAGAGCTGGAATAGGAAGCCTGACAATAAATCTATCTTATATGGCAGTCTGCTGCTGCTTTCTGTAATCAACATGCAACCTTCAGCTGAGCTGCCTTTTAACAGTAAATATATAAAGTTTTTCCCCCTTGACACTAATATTTTGAATATTTATAATTGGGCTATTTATTTTTTTAAAACAAAAACGAGATCTGATAAATTGGAGGTCAGAGAATTATAGTGCAATGCATTCGTGTAAGTTTTATATTTGCAGTGTGTTTTAATAGTGCTATTTTATGTGTTCTGTCTAAAGGCCAACCTGTTGTTCATTCATATGTGCCATTGTTAGATTAGTCGTTTGCAGTTGTTGTCATTCCTCATGTCACTGATCAGTTTAGCGCAGGAAACGGACACCACCTGTTCTTAGAAACTCAAAAGGATCTAAAACATACTGTTTGTAATATTATAAGACTGTCTGGGGACTGGATTGATGTTTGAGTGAACATTTGGCTGCGGTTATAAGTATTTCTTACAGGTTCGAGGAACAATGCAAATTAGATGTAAATTAATTCTAAAATACAAACGATGGGACATGCTGGTTATGGAGGGCACATCCATTAGTCATTTCATGTGTGTCAATTAAACATGATTTTGAACAATTATCATTGCAATTATGCTTGTTGTCATACATCAGTATTCCAAAGAAAGCAAGCCGCAACATGTTATTATGTTGAGTTATTGTACTGTGTCCGTTTTACCTGATGTGATGACAGAGTTCTTACTAGTATAACACATCACTGAGGTGTGTTTTTATTTAATTCATTATGGTGTTTAAAAGAATAAATAGCTTTGAATTGAGGACCTCTAGTAGATGTTTTGATTTAGTTGTCTCAAGGTTAGACTCTGTAAACCAAATTAAAAGGAATAGTTCACCCAAAAATGACAATTTACTCACTTGCAGGTCACCCAAGATGTAGATGAGTTTGTTTCTTCATCGTAACAAATGTGAAGAAATGTAGCATTACATCACTTGCTCACCAACTGAATCTCTGCAGTGAATGGGTGCTGTCAGAATAAGAGTCCAAACAGCTGATAAAAGCATCACAATAATCCATAAGCAATCCACACAACTGTGTGTTTGTTATAGTCCACTGCTTGTAATAAACAAAATCATCCATATGACAATTTCAACTTCACCATTGCTTCTAAATTGAGTCCTCTATACATAATATTGCTTTCTCAATAAAAATTTAATCTCATCTGAATAAGGACAGAAATATTCACAGATCAAGCACTGTTTACAAGTGAGAACAGTCCAAATCAGTTGTAAAAAATGTGTTCAAATATGGATTTTACATTAAAATCCATATTTGAACACATTTTTTACAACTGATTTGGACTGTTCTCACTTGTAAACAGTGCTTGGAGGAAGCGTTATTATGGATTATGGGCTTGTACTTTGGCCAGCAGTGATGACTTGATGGATTTGTTTCTTAAAAACAGCTTTTCACTTCATACAATGTTAATTGATGGACTGGAGTCGTGTGGATTAATTGTGGATTATTGTGATGTTTTTATCAGCTGTGTGACTCTCATTCTGACCCATTCACTGCAGAGGATCCATTGGTGAGAAAGTGATGCATGCTATACTTCTCCAAATCGGTTCAGATGAAGAAACAAACTCATCTACATTTTGAGTAAATTTTCAGCAAACTTTAATTTTTGGGTGAACTATTCTTTTAAATATCTCATCAAATATGCTCTACTGTCTTTCATTGCTCTTACACTTCTCCCTGTTTTGGTGCTGTGGAAAAATTCCGGATCTCTCTGGACAAATGTTGCAGTAGTGATACGCAGTTTAATGTGTGTCATGGGGGAAAGGCTGCTCCCCTCTTGTGCAGCTTGATTGGTACAGTCCAAGCCTCAGTCAATGGTGTTTTAAAACCTCGATGTTGCTAGAATGTGCCTTTTAGACTGAGGGAGGGGGTTTGTGCTCACAGAGCTGTGGTTTAGTACAGCAGTACAGCATCATCACCATCTGTGTGCAGCATCCCAGACAGGTGCGAAGAGTACAGACTAAAGCTCTAAGATAGACATAACGACTTAAGTAAGCTAAATTAGATTCAAAACTGAGACCATGACCCAGGGAAAGGTAAGCATTTTTATTCTTTACTGTTATGAGATTTTATCATTTGTCTTTAATTGCTGGTTATTAACCAAATGCAATTCAGTGTTCTGAATGGCTGTAATTTCTTTTACGTGCTAGCCTGTCAGCACTGTTTTGGTTTCATCTGTCCCCCGTGATGATTAATAATGATCCCGTGACACTAAAATAAGCTTTGTCATGTCTTGGATTTGTTCCTTATGTTTTTGGACTGACTCTAAAACGGAAAATTCTGTAGATTTACATTATCTTCTGTACCATTTATAGACAATCTGAAATTACTACAAAATGATACCATATCCTTAGTAGCAAATAAATCCAGCACAATATATACAAATTGAACGTGATTTATTTTTACCTTATTTAAACATTCTTAGAAGTGCATTCAATGGCTTTTGTTTGCCTTAAACAGGTTAAGACAAAAAGATTATATGACATAATTTAATTTAACAATGTGCAAAGCACCATTAAAAAGTGCTTGTACTGTGGAAGACTTTTTTGCTTTAATCAGCAACAGACAGAATAAAAAAAAAAAAGCAAACATGAGCAGGTACTCCAATACAATAGTGGTGTTGCACCAAATAGTGGTCACAAAGTTAAACTTCACAAACTGTGAAACAGTCAAGATTCAAAACATTTTCAAATACATGGCAAAAAAAAAATACTACTAATAATAAAATGAATACAAGGCAGGGCTGTCATTAATAACAATTGCTATAGACTTATAGTCAATTAGTCGAGTGAAATGTTCCCGTGTTGATGCCATTTAAGAGAACACAATATTCTTTAAAGGGACAGTTCACCAAAAAACAGCAGACGTTCTCACGATACAACTCATCCCGGAAGCACTACACTGTTTACAAGCAGAGGAAAAGGGACAGCGTATGCAAGCCTCATTATATTTAGGTCTTGTTTTTGTTTTTTTCATGGTGCTTTTTTAAAAATGGTGTCAACACAACACGCAAGCATTGAGATGCTCTCATGAACACTTGTAGGAGATCTTTAGGGCCTTTCGCACTGCTTTAGTTCCAGAACTAAATGTACAGTACTAAAGTACTGGGACGATTTTGCGTGAACTATTTCCCAGTACCATTTAAAGGGTTGCATTCGCTTTATACAATCTTATGATTCGCACCGACAGTGTGTACTAAGAAGTGACGTAAGCCGGTCGACAGCGTCGTCATTTGTGCGCGGCGTTCAACAACAGAAACAAATAAGAACAACATTAACAACAGGAGGATGGAGGACGCTGTGATTGGAGCTGTGTTTTTGTTGTGTCTCGCGGGTTTCACAATATTGGACATGGAAAGTCGACGTATACGTAAAGCGATTGAAAGAAAGGAAAGGAGGACTAAGAATCTCCAACGACAACTGGCAGTGCTACATTTGCTACAAGTGCCTGCACTTCAGCGTCCGTCCATCTATCGCTGTTCTCCATACTTGCGAAATAAGTTGACACAATGTTTACAGTATGTTTACACGGCCTTTTAAATCATGGCGGGTGAGGGTGTTTTCGTACGCGTTTGGCCAGTGGATGTCTACTTACTTCACGATTAGTACCAGTTGTGCTGGTTAGACCCTGCTCCGGAGTAGGAGCTAATTTGGTTCTCGAAAAAGGCAGTCCGGTACTAAAATCGCACCCAGTTCCGGAAGTGGGTAGTTCCACAATTAGTTCTGGTACTATGAAAAGGTTCCCGTGGTGCGAAAGGCCCTTATGCTGAAGAAGATATTTTGTGATAAAAATACTTTTGTTTTTGTTTTTTTGCACAAAAAGGACTTATGTTGCTTCTTAAAATTGATGTTAAGCCACTGGATTCACATACTTTAATGATGTCTTTATACCTTTCTGAACCTTGAAAGTGTTGCATAGGCTGCCAATGGGGGGACAGAAAGCACTCAGATTTCATTAAAATGATCTTCATTAGTGTTCCAAAATTGAACGAACATCTTGCAGGTTTGGAACGAGAATTAATATAACTACCCTTTAAGGTAGGTTACTAACCTCTAATTCATGCTAAATTATCTTAGTGTTAAACTTCAATTGGCATGTTAACAAGGTTTGTTCTCAGCTTCTAGAATTAGATGGATCAGGATATACAGGATGAAAGAGTCTTTTAAGGTGGCTTATAATGTAATTTATCAGCAGCAAACTCTCCTATTACAGTGAACCAGTCATTGATAAGTAATGACCAGATCAATTACTCACTCTCTCCATTCTCAGTTACGTTAAACACACTTTTGGATGGCATTATGTACAACGATTCACTAATCCATGCACAGTGTAGCCATACAGTATATGATAAAAAATATTGTTCTGACATGAATAATGTAATACATTACATTGAATAACAGGTTCTGTAACAATAAAGGTTCCTTTTAAGGATCATTATAATGAGTGCACATATATACAGAATAACAAATAAAGTTTAATATGTTTACAGGTTTCAGTAACAAGCAAGTCAAACAATGACTCGGATGTCCAGCCGATGGCTTCAGTTCCTCCAAGTTATGAGGAAGCAACTGCTGGTATGAACTTTTTTCCTTGCATTTGCAATTTACCTGCAGGTGAATTTCCTTTTTAAACTGATCTGCACTTTAAAATTATTGTTAATTTAGATAGTCCACCTAAAAATACAAATTCTGTAATCATTTATTCCCCTTCATGTTATTCTAAAACTTTATAACAAAAAGAGGATATTTTGAAGAATATCGGTAACCAGCCCTGATAGCACACTTACATCACGGAGACGTCTATTTGACATCTTTACATCTGCAAGACGTATTTTTAGAGTGTTTGCTCATCTGCAATACGTCTATAGGACGTTTCCTATCAGATGTCAAATAGACGTTTAGAGAATGTCTTTAAGATATTTATAATTTAGAATGTATGTAAAACTGATATCTGAAAGATGTCTATCAGATGTTTGTACACAGCAGATGCTTTCCAGATTAAGTGATCTTTAACAAACATCTTGCAGACGTTCGTGTCGTGTGCTATCTGGGAAACAATTTTGGGTCTCATTGAGTATGAAATAATATGGAAGTCAATGGGACCTGAAACTGTTTGGTTACCAACATTCTTCAAAATATCTTTTTATGTTTCACAGTGACAGAACAAATATGCATACAGGTTTTGAAGGATACGGAGCACCGCACATAACATGCAGGGGAAAAAAGTAAATGGTGCGCATGATTTATAATTTGTTCCCTAGGTTTAAGTAAATTTTAAAAAATTCTGGTGGACTATCCATTTAACTCAGTGAATGCCAATGTATTTTGGTCACTATTCACTAATATACGTAGAACACTAATGGCATTCATCACCCATTGAGAAACAACTTGAGAAACAAAATGTTTCATATTTCCTTTTGGTATTGAAAGGTGGAAGCCCTTGTTATAGTGGAGCCTATCCTGGAGATGGTGAGATGCTCACAGAATTCAGCTGGGATGACCAAAACATCAGGAGGATATTCATCCGCAAGGTATTATTGCCTTCTGTTGCGGTTCTAAACGGCTGTGGAAAATATGGAGTGAAGTAATGTAATATTATTTCCTGTAGGTGTACACCATCCTTATGATCCAGCTATCTATCACAATTGCCTTTGTGGCTCTTTTCGTTTTCTGGTGAGTGTGTGAGCTGAACAAACTTTCATAATGCATTATTCCTTTTTTTAAGCTTGTTTAACAATGTCTTGTTTAACTTGTAGTGAACCCGTGAAATATTACATACAGACCAACCCTGGCTGGTACTGGGCATCATAGTGAGTACAATTCATTACGTTGGGTTGACACTGTAAATGCAAATCTTAAAATTCAGTTTGAATTTAGACAGCATATAATACAGTAATTCAGTAGTAGTGCAAGTTTTTCCTTACTGTGTTGCTATGCCGTGAATGTATAATGGCTTAATTGTCTTTTTCTCCCAACAGTGTAGTGTTTTTTGTCACATATCTGACTCTATCCTGCTGCCGTGGACCCCGGTGAGTGCATTTGTAGAGATACAGATGTATATCAGATGTATATATAATATAGCTAATATACAATATAATCATAATTTATCATCTAAAATAATGTTTATATAATTTTTTTAGCAATTAACTTTAATTAAATGGACACATTATATAATATGCATTCATCTTTTATACTTACAGGAGGCAATTCCCATGGAATCTGATTCTGCTCATTATCTTTGTGAGTATTAAAACAACCTTAATTACAAGTCTTTGGTCATTAAGCTATTATTTGACAAATACTAATATTGATCATGAACAAACCTGTTTTCACATATAAAAGAAAGTCTTCCTCTATTTAAGCATGTGATCTCTCTTCTTCTGTTCCAGACTCTGTCTCTTTCTTACATGACAGGAATGTTGTCCAGGTACAGTCTCACGATATATGTGTATCATATCTTTTTTTTTTTTACATACATGTTAAATATGTTCTGCATAATTCATAATTTCATATTCATATTTTCACTTTGTCAGATTTGCACAGTATATTGTGTTATATCACAAAATGATTTATAGTGAAATCATTTTGCATGTAACAAGATGTCTTTTATAGACCTATTTCTTATTTAAATATTCCACCTCTGGCTTCATCTCTCTAGCTACTACAATACTAAATCTGTCATCATATGCCTGGGTATTACTGCCTTGGTGTGTCTTGCTATTACTATCTTTAGCTTCCAAACCAAGGTTAGTATTATTAAAAGCAACACATTTTTTCATTTGTCTTGAATGCAATCATTTTCAACTGTAATCTGGAGTATGTTTATTCAGATCAAATGTTTGTGATTTTACAGATTGATATTACTTCATGCCAAGGTGTGCTGCTAGTCTTCTGCACAGTATTGTTTATTTGTGGACTTGTCCTGGCATTCACCCTGCCCTTTGGCTATGTAAGTACCAATGTCAGCAGTTGATTGGTAGATTTATTATTTCTCAGCAGGGTGCTGGACTTTAATGTTCACAGAAACCAGAATGTGCTTTCACCAAATTTTTTCTCTTTTCTCTTTACAGGTTCCATGGTTGCACGCTGTGTACGCTGTATTGGGAGCAATACTGTTTTGCTTGGTAAATAATTATAAGTATTTTTAACTCAAAGTAATTTTAGATCAGATTTTAGTTCAGATTAATCCTGTAAAGCCTAACATATGAAATAATAGTCATTATCTTATGTGTTTGTAATTATTGTCATCTTATTATTTGCATCTCTCTCTTGTCTTATAGTTCCTGGCATTTGACACACAGATGCTGATGGGGAAAAAGCAATACACCATAAGTCCTGAGGAATACATCTTTGCCACTCTCAGCATATACCTGGACATTGTGTACATCTTCTCTTTTATTCTCCAGTTGTTTGGAACTCCTGAACGGGAGTGAATATGCTGTTAACCTGAAGCTCTAACGGCTCTCCTGAGTGTCTTTTGTTTCTCTGATCTGAGTGATCCTGTCTTTCCAGCATGATTTGGATCTTCAGGGCACATTGTTGTGTTTAAGCCCCTCACCTCAGCTTTACGATGTGCCATGCATTTATCCTGTAGCATGAAGGAGGTCTTGCATATACATTGCATATGTACACTGGTAAGACTTGAACAACATTCAGCAGTTTTACAAATGGTGTCATAGAAAACAAAACAGAAAATATTAAATGCACTGGTGCCGTGAAACCTATACGAGGTCATTAGCAGTGAAAGTGCATGAAATGGAGCACAAACAGCATCACACTGAGGTGAAACTGTTTAGTAGGATTTATCCATCAGTGTCCACCGCATTCATCTTTGTGTCTGACCCTGCAAAAGTTTCATATGTGATATCACAGCATGAGGGCATTTTAACAAATCATTCTGAAAAACTAGATATTGTGGTTTTAGGTGTGCACATACAGTATGAATCAAAGCAACATTTACATTTCTGAGTTCATTTGTACAAATTTGATTTAAATAATCAGTGTTTCCATTTGAATTTACCATAATATTTCATATGCTAGGAATTTTCTATTTGGTGATTTTCACTGCCATTGTAAAGTCATTGACTTGATTGAGATATGCTTTTTGAGCATTCATTATATTGCTTAGGCCTTTATGTATTATTAAATCTGATTTTTCTTTTCATTCCATAGAGTTTTAATGTATTATCAGCACAGATCTATTTTTGAAGACAATGAGTTGTGAATGATTTTGGATGTGTACATAGCTTTACAGTGTTCACTAAAAGAGTACAAAATCACTGCAGCTGGATTTAAACAGTATGCAGTACATATTAGATATTTTTTTCCTGTTTGTAGCCTTTACAGTAGAGACAGTGTAATAAATATAATTTATTAAAATGTATTGAATATTAAATTATTATATGACAATGTATGTTCTAATTGCAAATTAAAAAGATGCATTTCCTCAGTCAGAGTAAATAAATGTCGTGTCTTGAATTTCTATGAAAATACAAATATAATTCCAGTTCCTTCCTATATTTTTGTGTGCAGGTGTTATCATAGTAACATTATAGATTATCAACACAATTATCTCCCTTTTTAATAAAACAAGCTTACATCTCATATGTGGGGGGCCTTAAATTTTAATTTAGGCCTACATCAAGGAGAAAACCGGGATTAATAGACCAGTTTTGTGGGAAAATGTGTATGATGTTTAAAACTTTTTCTGAGATCTCTTAATAAATTAGTAGACATGCAAAAAAAACAAAACAATAGAAAGACTTGGTTGAATGAATGATTCAATGACTCGCTTTTAAAACACAAACATTCATTTATCGCCACCTACTGGCATAACGATGTTACCTGCAGAAAGAGTCAATGAAACAATCACTAAACGATTCAAAAGATTCAAGTCACTGAAATTAATCAATCCCCTCTACTACAACAGAGTATTTAAAGTTAAAGCGTATATAAAGGCACTGAAACACTTTGCACTTCTTCTTCTTCTTGTAGCGTTTATTGGCGGTGGGCAAGCCAACTTTTGGTGCATTACGGCCACCAACTAAACTGGAGTGTGGAGTGACAGTGAGAAGGCTTTATAAAAATAAATAAATAAATAAAATTACATACAATTATTCCTTATATTCTCATAAAGATTCCCGTGTCTATTAGATAACTTATTCACTTTGCACTTGATCCCACCATTCCTCTTTCAAAACACTGCGCACTGATGACGCGCTTCCGCTCCGCTCATCCAATGGGAAAGCGCGGTTTTAACATGTGGGCTTCGGCCATGTTCTGCTTTTAAATAAGGAAGAAGCGGGAGGCGTTAATGCAACTTTGTGTACTCAATATCTCATTCACAGAATCGCTTACGGCTTCTGAGAAATTCGAGTCAGTTAGGAAAAAATATTCACAACAGATACTAACACACACGGGCAGCTATTTGGAGCTTGCTTAACCTCAGAGGTAATTATTGCTGGGCTGGTTTCTCGCGTGTTAGCAGCTGGTTAGCTGGTTGAGCTAAAGATCAGCGGTGAGGATTTATCTGAACTGGTTTAGTCGTGTTAGAGTGAAGGATTCAGCTACTTTTATCTAACAAAGCTGGTTAGCAGTGGCATGCGGATGAAGGGCAGAGGGAGCCCGCGTTTGGGACTGCGCTGACAGCCCTAACGACTTATCCTGCTATAATCGAGGCTTTCAGTCTTTCATCATGTTTAATAAGTTATACGAATGGATCGGAACCGGAATCGCCAGTCTGCGAAACGGAGCTCCAGCTGGTGGGGTTCATACTGGTTCCGTGAGAGTGGATCAGGACGGGACATTACGGAGAAAGAGACCACTAGACTGGTAAAAAGATTGTTTATATGTGTAAAAAACTGTGAGCGGATTGCTTACAAGTGCAAGAACTGTCATTTTATTTATTATTTGGTCTTATAATAAAAGTTTAGGTCTTTAAACTGGTTTTTGAGTCGTAATGTTTTGGTTCGGTCATTAAAGCGCGAACTGTTTTGATTGGATGACGTTAGAAACGCGTGCGCGTCTAGAGCTCCTGATAAACCATTCATTTTCTTTCTTTTTGTTGATTATTTTTATTTTCTTTTGTCGTTTATTGTAATATATGAAACTATATTGTTTTCCCGAATATATTTGCGCGTTTGCTGCTTCAATAAAACAACTGAGCAACCTTTAACAAGTTGATGTTATAATATTCTATTCAATTATTTTTGTTTCTTATGAATATATTTTCTTTTTATATAAGTATTAATAATGAACAATTTTATTTTTTAAATATTTATTGCACGTTCATTTATAATAAAACACCTGTCTCAATTTTGTATTTTCTTATAGTTTGGAAGATGGAGATTCAGTTGATCAGGAGGAGGAGAAAGTGGTGAAGAAATTCAGAATGGGTAAATAACACCATTCTGAATACATGATAAAACAAATTTATGGCAATTACAATAACATTTTGTTTCTTGTTCTCTAGGGGATATTATGGATACAGTGAAAAATGCAGCTGAGGGAGTGAAAAGACATGGTTCGAGTGTTGCTTTTTGGATGAAGAACAGGGTCAGAACTAATCCAAGGAACATGTTGCCGACATCACCGGGTCCACCTCAAATAGCAATACCATCAGAACCTGCAGCCAATTCCGCTGCATCAGCATCTTTGTGGGTGGAAAACAAGGTACTTTTTTGCTCATCAAGATCTCAGTGGGTTTACATCATTTCCTTGAGATCAGGTATCACAGAAGAGCAAAAGTTGTCGTGTCCAATTCATTTGATCTAATTCAGACTAATTCAGTCTAATTATTTTTATCTATGCTATATATTTTAGCATGTTTACTTATGTTTTGCTTTTTCTTAAAGTTTGGGGATCGGTCACGTGATATACTTGAGGACACATTTGTAGCTCCCTCTAGTTCAGTTGAATGGAGAACTGTCACAAAATCTGGTAAGGGTAAAAATTGTTTATGTTTTCTGTGTGTAGTTATTTGTTTTTCTTTCTGCAAGTTACATATATTGTCTTTTTCTGTTGTGACAGATTCCTTACGGACTGAACAGTCAGTCACCATATCAAAAGCAAGCAGAAGACAAGTTTGTATGGACCATCCACCCCAAGAGACACACAAAGCTAACGGACACTCTGTTAACTTACCCTCTGCTTCCATGCCAAACCCATCCCCCTCTCCCCGCTTGGGCAGATCCCTGTACCACCGACCACACAGGTT